GATGCTTTTGAATTCTATCAAAACTGGAAAGTGGAGCTCATGACCATATACGGCAGCAATACTCAATTTTCAGCCTGATCTGGTGCTTGTAAAGGTATAAGGTAGCAGGAAGAGTCAGGTGCATAGTGGAGCAGTACAGGGTAATGACTATTTTTCCAGTATCTTTAGTGATTGATCATATGTACAATTTCTAGTTGAGTTTTGGTTTGAGCTTAGATCCGAAAAGGCAGTCAAGGCACAGACCCCTGACCTGAGAGAATACCTCTTCATCATGATAGAGGAAAACTCAGAATCTGCTTGGTAATGACAGAACATCACTAGTTTTCGAGGCACTGAATGTGACCATCCAGTTTTTACCCCACTGAAATGCTAAAGCTAGGACCGAGGAGGGATCAGCTGCAAAGCTCTGGTCATCTAGATTTTTGAAGTTCACCTATATACCATTATATCAGCAGCATAAATATTCACAACACTGGTACCTTGACTACATGAATTTAAGTTCCCTACTGTATTGACAACCAGGTCTCTTTGTTTTACTGTTGTACTAGATAGAGGGAACAGCCACCTCTAATCTAATAGTTTCTTTTCTTGCACTTCCCACTAGTGGAAATCCCTTCTGATTTCTCGCTTCCTTTATAACTAGAATCTTTAAATTTAAATCACCATTTTATGTCTTGAATCCAGTTCCTTTTTTAATCCTTTCCTCAATCCTCCTTAATCTCTTTCACTCCCTGTAATCCCCTATAATCTAGTGGCATCATCGTGTTACTTGGGGTGAAACAATCACTCTTAGAAGACCATTTATGTTAAGTACAAAGTGTTGAACCAAGAATCAAGCCATGGGGGATGCCGGCATTGATTGCTAGGGCCTCAGAGGACTGGCCATTAACACTACCTTCAGGAATGAGCTAAAACATTATGACTACCATTATGTGGCAAGAATGCCAACTATTGTCACATAACAACTGCACATATCAAGGCTAAGTTTCTGCATTTCTAAAATGGTTTGTGGCCTGCTCATATTCACTTGCAGTGAGTATCTGTCAAGAGTGTTCTAAGGAGAGTAAACTTACCATCTACTGAAAAGCATTTAGGAGCCAAATCATATTGATGCAGGACATAAAGAGCGGCTTCCTCGCCGAGCATAAGCCAACAAAAGTGCTACTCTGGCATAACTTACAAGTAACTTTTGATTAAAGTGAAGAAATGCATGTATCACAACACAGTACATCAACCCTTGTTCCATATTGGGCTGTATAGCTGTGGGTCAGTCAGAGTACGGGTTACTGCTGATTGTGGTTGGACTTGTTTTGATAGTTAAGCAAAGAAGTTTATTGCTACTCCTCATAGGAGGAAGGAGTGCAAAATATCTAATGAACCTTCACATAACCAAAATGAGGAATAAAATATTGTCAAACTCAAATACAATTTAATAACAGCAATGGTAACAATTATGGGAAAGAGAAAAGGTGTTTTTAGAAGGGTTAGAAGTAGTTTATAAAAAATCTAAAGAAATAAAATCTAGAAAAACTAATGTCTATGTATGTATGAATATGTGTATAATATATGTTAATGTGAAAATATGTATGTGTATGTGAGTGCATGCTTATATATTGATGGATATAACTAAGTCATTTAAAAAGTTCTTTTTGAGGCCAACATAGATGAGTATTTGGGTGAGTATTTTATCTTGCTAATGTGGACCCCTCTGTATGGTGGAGTACCAGAATGAGGAGTCTTTTTTCAGCATAGTATGAGTAAAGGAATAAATCCAGTATGCCCATTGTGTATTCTCCTATGTGCACTCAAGTAGCTTTTGATCCATTCTTGTATAGGCAGGAAGGTTCCATATGAAAGCCAAAATTTAATATTTTTTTTATTCTGTTCCTATTGGCTGAAGAGATCATGTGGTGTGCTTACTACTATGTTGGCATGAGGTGATACCAAGTTTGATTTTATGTGTCTATTTTTAGACTTGGTTAAAGTGTGGTTGTGGAGAGAATTAGAAAATACACAAAAAAATAAATAAATAGAATTCATTTTCAAAGTTCTGATAGTACCTTTGCAAACTAATGTCTATTGTAATGAAACTGCACTTTTTATCAATGGAAGAAGACCATCTGTTCCACTGAGTCTTGCTTTCACTTAAATGTCATGAAAATATGTTTCATTATCCTAGGAAAACAATGGTACCATGATAAAGACAGGGTGATGGGGTTTTGGTCATGTTTTCTTGGGAAACACAGGCTCTAATCATTCACAAGTACCACAAACCTCAAAATCAATGAAGATCAGGTACAACCCTTCATGGTAACAGCACCAGAATCTTTTAAAAGAACAATGTGCTATGCTTCATTGACCAGTTTGTACAGGAACAATTTCAGGAACATGAAGATTTTGCTGTGTTGACCTTTCAGCCAAACTATACAGAACTTATCTTAGAACAAAAGAGTTGTTGTGCAGAAACTCTATGGCATAACTTATAGACTATTGCTATTCCTATGATAAATGTTCCGACAAGATACATTTCTTAGTTCCACTCATAACTCTTTGGGTCTAGTCACTGGATCTAACCAACACCTTTATCCACTGGGCCATATGTCCTTGAGTTCATTACCAGGTTACAGCAGTGGTGAACCAAAAACTTGGAGAGTTGAGTTAAAGGGAAAAAACTGAGACATCCAGAAGAGGTATGACATGTGGAACTAGAACAATCTACCCCAGTGGATGAAATAAAGGGTTTGATTTGAAATTCCAATCACCTGAAGAAGGCTGGTGCTTAACACAGCCAAAACATTGTGAATATGGCAATGAAGATGAGGATAACAGTCCAAATAATGTATATAATGTAAATAATCATAATACCTCATCTCAGAGACATAGACAGTCATTTAAAGAGATTTATAATGAAACTTTTTTTTGTTACAGGAGGCCAGTAATGAGAGATTTAAATCACTTGTGGAAAGCAAAAGGGAAAGAATTATCCACTCATTCTTAAAAGGTTAAGGACTTTAGCATCCAGTTTAAAATATAAAATGACAAAGAATTAAGTTTGACAGGAAAGCCATTGGTGTCTCTAGATTTTTAAAAATAAATTTTTTTTTTAAATATAAAATTTATAAATTACTCTTCTGTTACATTGGGGCACACATGGCTACCTTTTAGGGCACATTAATGTACCTGGGTGCACTGTTTGAGAAATGCTGGTGTATATATTTGAGTGTACATGTATTTAAGATGAATATGTTTGGATGCGAAGAAGCAGCTGAATCTATGTTTTAGATGAAATTATCTCTCTAAAAAAAGGGGAGATAATCATTAGAATAAAAGAATTAACTGGAAAAGCATGAAACAAAAAAAAACTATAAATTTTTATTTTAAAATCTGTGCAGTCATTTATAAACCAAAGATTTAGTTCTCTTTAGTTATCTTTCTTCACTTAAAATGAATGGTACACATCAGCCAGTGGTATTTCAAGGGATGGTTTCTCTCTTAATTTTTACCTTTTTTTTTTTTACTTGCTTTCATATTTTAAAAACGTTTTACCTATACATGCTTGTACTTTAATCTTTTAATTTATTATTTCTACAGTTAATGATTTATATTCTTATGGTTAAATGCACAAAACAATATGGATGATGATTAACAATATTAATTTTGTTGGAGAAGGCTACAGTTTAAAAAATAATTAGTAAATACATTAGATTTATTTGTTTTCATCCCACATTTATTAATCTCATTAAGTTTATCTAATTTTAGGTTTATTTAATTTTCATTTAATGTCCCAAAATAGAAATTTCTGGGTATATATACACAAATTATATATATATATGCAGGAATAAAGACATAAGGAAAAATTATCTTATCCTTATCTTTATTCATATTGTTTTTTTTTACAGATATATTTTTAGTTATGTCTGAAACTCTATATATATATATAGAGAGAGAGAGAGAGAAGATGCTGAACATCTTTTGATGTGATCGACTTTTAAAAAAAAGTACTGGGTTGGCCACAAAGTTTGCTTGATTTATTAAGTAGAAAATTTACTTAATAATCAAATAAACTTTTTAAGCAGCCCAGCATTTTATGGTTCTGTCATGGAAATTTTGGGAAGAGTATCAGGTTAAAATCTTTTCAGCACCTCCCCCAGATCTATGTATGTTAAATATGTTGGGAGCCAGGGAAAGTAAAAGTTCTGAAACATTTTTATTCTAAATGAATCTGCTGCTTATATGAGAATTTCTCAAAGAAAAAAAAAAAAAACAAAAATAGAAAAAAAAATGCATAAATAAAACAAAACAAATAAAAAATAAACAAAAAATAAAACTTGAATGTATCAAACTTTTTAATTATTTGTAAAATTTTATAATGTGGATTGAAATGAAAATAAAGAAACATGAAAGAATGAAGAGTTGTAGTTTATTTAACAAAAGGTTTTATTATTTTACTTTAAATATATCTTTGTGTATCTGCATGCAGTAAAAATCATACAGAATGTGCATATGCTTTTATTAAATAAACTAATTATATATATATATATATATATATATATATATATATACACACTTACGCATACATGTAGCAGGCACATTAAACTAGCATGCGTTAGATAATATTTTTTTTTCTTATACGTTTTTAACTTTGTCTTCTTCCTTGTCTAAATGCAATTTGTTTCTACAGGCCCAAGTGGAATAAGGAAAGGGGGGGTGAGTAATATATCATAATCAAGACCTTGATGACCAATTTTAATTTCTTTTTTTTTTTAATATATATATGTTTAACCAGAGAAACTAATCACAAACAATTTTTATTTTCTTATTTAAAAGAAAAAAAATTTTTCTCAATTTTTTTTTGATAACTTTTATATTTTTTTTGCATCCACCCCATTGTCAATCATGTTTTTTTTTTTCTTTTCTGAAGAAGTCAGATGAAAATGAAAATTGTTTGTCCTCTTTTTTCTCTGTGGGACATCTGAGGTAGTAAACGTGGGAATACTCACCGTAATTGTCTCTTCTCTTATGAGATGTACTTGTGTTATCGTTAGCTGTAAAATTGAGAAAAAAATGATAATTGATTTAGAAAAAAACAAATTATTTATATTTTTAAAACTTTTAACTTGTCTTTTTTTTTTGCGATAAGAAAATAAAAATTATTTAAGAGCAAAAAATGACTTAAAAAGAAAAAAAAAATTATCAAAAATATTTTCCCATCAAGATAAATAAAGCTGCACAGATTTTAAAATATAAAAGAAAATTATTTTGAAGGTTTTATAAAATCTTAGAAAGTTTTTAATTATCTGTATTTAAAAGTTTTTTTTTCTTTAAAGTATTAAAAAGAAAAAATACCTTTTTGTTTTCAATTATTTATATATATATATATATATATATATATATATATATATATGCATGTATGTATGTGTGGTTTGTATAGGGAAACTTTTGAATGTTGCTAGGGGGTGCTGAAATGGTTTAAAAAGCTATAGGAACTTAAAATTTCATTTTGTATTTTAGTTGACTACACAATGTATTCTGCATGTTGTCAAATAATTTTTAATACAAATAGGTAGTGAATTTTTCACTAAAGAAAGAAAAAATTCTAAAATAAAATCCTGCAAGATATTCCTATTTAGATTAATCATCTAAGGGCATTCATTCCTCTGACGTGATGGATATGGTATATATGCTGAAATTTTAAAAAAACTATCTTAAGAGTGTTGCAAAGAAATCACATGTGCAACAAAGAACAAAAACAGAAAGTGAAAGATGCAAATAATTAGTTTAAAAAAAAAAAAACAACCTAAAATGAAAGTTAAATATAATCAACTAATTAATAATTCACACTAGATTGGTGAAAGCAGAACATTTTTTTTAAGTGAAATATTTGATAAATTCTATACAAACATATATATTTTTTTTAATCTGTGCAGGAATAAAAAAAAAAGCTTTGAACACAAAAAGACCAAAAATAAAATAAACAAAACAAAAAAAAAATTAAATTAAAAAACAAAACAGTTTGATCAGTAAAACAAACTCAAGCTGAATTAGTAAAGAAACAAAAAAAAGCAAAAGTTATTTGACAGGAGCCAAAATATATAAAATACAAAAGCAAGCAATATTGTTTTTGCAAAATAGAAAATACAGAAAGAAAAACATTGTCATTTTGTAGAAAACTCCATCATTGAAAATGTCTTTCTTTAACATTTATAAATTTCTTCACAGTCATAGGAAGATTATATTGCACCATTCTTTTAATAGGCCTGCCTGTCTTAAAAAAAGATCAATAAACATTTGAAATTTTGACTTATACCCAAGTTCAAACAGAAAAAAACTGCTATTGAACATTAGTAGACAACTATCTCAGCCAATAGGCAAACCATAATTATATATTGAGTCACATTTTTTTCAATATTGGTTTTAAAAAATTTTCATATTGAAAACATATGATATTTTTCTGTAATTTTATGAAATTGAAGTTAAACAAAACAAAATTTGAAATATAGTTGTAAATGAATAATATTTTAGACTTTTAACTTTGAAAATGTACTAATATTCTAATATGTCATTTTGAATCCATTTTCCTATCAGATTATTAATTTGACCTTTATTTTTGCTTGGATGGATTAGGATCTGCTTAGTGAGAGAACACTGAAGCTGGTGAGTGGCAGATTCTTTTTATTAATGGATCAATCCATTACTGCCTTTTTTGATTGTACTGGCAAAATCAGATTTTTCGCAGTCACTTCCTACAAAACATATAAATTCTAAATTCTTTTATGTTGGACTAGGATTATTGATTTGGGTAATTCTGATTAAAAGTGACACTGTTATGTTGTTAAATAGCTCAAATGTATATTTACTACCCAGGACAGGTATTGAACTGATAGCCTTCAGGTAATGTAAACTTGTTGACTTGCTCCATCTGCAGTTGAAATGCATTCTACCCATTGAGTTCTATATAAATTTAAGTTTTTTTCCACTGGGGACAGATCAATCTATTTGTCTGGGGAAGTTATATCAGATTAGATCAACATTGGTAGGAAAGCATAGTTTTGATCTACAGACCTCTGGGTTATGATCCCAGCATGCTTCCAATGCTTATATCAGATTAGATCAACAACACAAGATGATTTTACTAGGGTATATATGTCTTTATACTCAACATCATTACAGATTTTGTCTTGAATTAAAAGATAAGTTCACACACCAAGTAGTCTCCAACTCTCATTCTTTTTGTGTTCCATTAGTAAGAATTAAGTTCTACTCAAACAGCTTCCTCTGAGAAACTGCTGCTTTGTGGAAAAGATTCCTAGAAAGAAGTTTTCCCAGTCAATAAAATCTTGACATCTTCATGTTTAGAGTTCACTGTTATCTTTCCTGTATAACCTCATGAACTTTATTACTTGACTTTTCTTATGTTCATAAAACACCACACAGTAACTCTGACTGGGACTTGGGCCTTATATTAGGTGAAAATTAGTATTAAAAATAAAAGATACCTACAATTGGCAATAACACAAAACCATATCTTTCAACTATATGATTAAGCTCTATCAGGGAACTCATGTCTGAGAAGCTATGTTTGAAAAAGGGAAAATGCATACATTAATAAATATATGTAATATTGCTATATATATATATATATATATATATATATATACATAATCTAACAGGGATCTCATCTCACAATCATCACATTTGCTCCATATGTGGCCTCATTTGTAAATCACTAGCGGGTTTTAAATGCCACTTAAGATTACCACACAAAATTTCATAACTGAATCAATAAGCTGTCAGATCCTCATACGTCAAAACTGACGGAAGAGTCCATTATTATATATATATATTGCATACAGTGTATAAGCCCCCTATGTGCCTTGCCCCTTCAGGATGTGGGCAATGATAGTCCTTTACCACTTACTTTTTTGCTATCTCTCCTAGTTGTGCCAACCATTTACACAAGCTTGTTAGGAAGTTTATTCAATGCTTTCCTATAGCCTTCAATAAACCCTGTGAGTGTCAAATTCTCCGGGCTCTGTTTTCTCATTATGTGTTCTAGAAATTTCAGTTGTCTCTAAGTATAAGTATCCTTTCTGTTTCCATTTTCCTTAAAACTTCATTAATGTTCACATGTTCAGTCTCTGGTATTTTCAGCATGAATTAGGAAAACATTAATATGAATTTGTGATGAAATAATACCAAGGAATTCTAACCTACCTGTGTCTAAGAGGCTACAATGTCTCGCCTGCCCAGGCAAAGCCACCATTTGCAATTTAAGTAAAGTGCATGCATGGTTCTAGTGCTTTTAAAACTATTACTACAGAAAGGAAGAAGGAAAATTCATTCACTAATGGTGAGAGACTAGATCAATCTATTTCTACATCTTTTGATTCTACCGGCAGAGCATTTTTCATGGGACATCTCAATAAGTGATATAAATTCTTTGTCTTATTTTATAGTGAGATGGTTTGTTCATTTGAGCATCTCTGTGAATAATAATCACATAAACTTATTTTTTGCCATTCAATTTTGGAAAATGAAGACTGGTTGATTTGAATAAATAATCTGCAAGATATCTTCAACCAGAAACACTTTAACTGAATGCACAACAAAAACAGAATTCCTGAAATGTTATTAACATAACAGAAAACATACTGAATTCATGCTTATCAATTTTTGGAGAAAGAGATAGAAATATCTAATATTACAAATATCAGAGCTTTAAGTAAAAATTTTACAAATCACAGAATGTATATTATGAAAGTAGAAGAAACAGAAATAAAACCTGAAATTGTTAGGATAGACTTGTATCTGTTTGTAGCGATTGCTATGTTTTTCTACGCCCACATTTTATTCACCAGCAATTGGCTAATAAATCACTACTACTTTTATATAAGACAATATAGCCATCGCAGTCATTTCTTTGAATTCTTCGGTTTTGAGCTTGCTTGCTTGTTCTCTTAGTACAAATGTAGTGACTGGTTAATTTTTACCCAATCACATATTTTAGAGCAAGATTAAGTTTTCCTGTGTTGCTATGGGAGTCTACCCTTTTTCCATAAAAGAGGCAACTTTTTCACAAGTTGTCAGTAAGATCCAGTAAAATTCACCTGTCCGCACAATTCCACGATCTTGCTCATAACATTTCAAACACACACACAGACACAGAATTTTGTAATATAAACTTACATTTCTCTCTGTGACTTAGCCAAGCTCAGTCAACCAGGACTCTGTTGATTTCAAACCATTCTATAACACAACACATTTTTGATCAATTTTATTCTTGTGTTATCTATTCTAACAAACAGACTTTATTCTAATATTGATTCCTGAACATTTTCTCTCAAAAAGAATTTTCTTCAATCAATTACAAATCAAAATACAATTAAAGGGGAACAACTTCTTTCTCTTAATCTATACATTGAATACAATTTTATTGCATGTTCTTGTATGTTATTTCATTATATACTTGTTGATTCACAGTTTGGAGTTTTTGTTGTTTACTTAAATCCCGTACATTGAAAATATAATAATATAAATAGCATTGGTCTATCTACAAATGGACACCTTTACAATTGGTGACACCTACGTTCCAAAAATAGATCTTTCAACCAATAGGCCCTTACATGTTTAATAATGGATAATGATTATTATAAAACTGGGTCAAGCCATCATTAGAGTGTTTGATTTTACTGGCTAACCATTAGCCAATCATATTTTACTGGCTAATGATTGGCCAATCATACTTCTACAAACCATTCTCGAAGATGATATATTTTTCTAGCAAGTTATGTGTTTACACAAGGGCGCATTAAAAAGTTCTTGGCCCAAACAAGAATGGATTAAAAATTAAATATAATGTGTAGTTTAATCATTTAGTCTGGTTTTATGAAGTGGATTAGGTTAGGAACTTTACAGCACTCCCTAGTACAGTAGCATATCTTACTGAATTTCGATACTGTTTCAGACAAAAAGGAGTTAACAACATGACTATGACCATTGATATGAGATCTAAGCAGACGTTTTCCTTAATAAAAGAGATGTTGAC